GTAAGCTTCCCCATTCTCTGACGTGGGATTCTTTAGCCGATGACAGTGGGCCTGTCGCTTTTTCTCAACTATCCTGAACACCTCCTCTGTCACAGTCCTTAACCTCGCTCATTTACCCTCGACATCAGGAGGAGTGGGGGACGATGCCAACCCCAGCCACAAGCGATGATGGAATTCTCGCTTGCAACTAACTGAGACCAGGCCACTTTAGGTTGGAATGGGGTCCTGAGTGTACACCCACCACCGGAGAGGAAGAATGGCAGGCGCATCTTGCAGATGACTAATCGATGGTCAGAGGGCAGATCAGCTCCACGGTAGGTCCTGGTGTCAAGGACATGGGCTCGCATCCGCTGGTCTATCACTATGTAGTCCAGCAGATGTTCTTGTTTGGACCCGGCATGCATCCATGATGTTGTGTGGATGCGCCGATGCCGGAACAGCGTGTTGGCAATTACAAGCCCATGTGCTGCACAAAAATCTAGCAGCCTCCTACCGTTGCTATTGAGCTGATCTCACCCATACCCTCCAATCACTACAGACCAGGTGCCAGCATCATGACCAACTCGTGCATTGAAGTCACCCAACATGATGACTCTATCCCGTGGGGCCACGTTAGCCAGCACCTGTGACAGGAGGTCATAGAAGGCATCTGACTCATCGGCTTTGCCTGCATCCCTTCACGGATGTTCGTTTTCGGTGGGGGCATAAGTAACCACGACCACCACTCCTCGCCTCCGGTTAATGGGAAGGCGAGCCCAAAGTAGCCTGGGGCTTACAGCTTCCCACACCTCACCGCCACGCTCCCACGCCCCCTTCATTTAACTCCCTGTTGTTTGGCAGTCTCCTGCCCCGAGTAGAGGACTGTCCACCCCTCATGGTGGCAGGAGCCAGAACCGGTCCACCGGACCTCCTGAATGCCACAGAGATCCAGGCGGTACTGGTCCAGCTCCTGACAGAGGAGTGGCAGCCTCTCCTCCGCAGTGAGCGTTCGAACATTCCACGTGGCCACACGAAGTGGCTTTTCGTTGTTCTGGAGGAGCCCCGAGGGTAGAGATTCAATCTCCTGGCTCCGCCAATTGGGGTTTGGCCAGGAGACGTCATAGACGCCTGTCCCCCCGGGGCCTCCGGCACAAGCTTATTAGTTATACTTTTTAAGTCGTGGTTTCGTGGTCATTTTTTGAAGGTGGAGGGGTTATCAGCCCCTCGCACCTTTCCAGAGCCCCCGTTTAGTCACTGTGGTGGTCACAGATGCCATGAGGGGAGAGGGCCAATCAGAATTAGCCCTCTCCCCACAGCACTGTTCACGACAGAGTTGCCCGTCCGGCACTGCGAGGAGGTAGGGGGTTGTTTTGCCGGACACACACACAGACACACAGACACACACACACACAGACACACACAGACACTCATAGACACACACACAGACACACACACAAACAAACTTATAAACACTGCCAACAGGGATACTGGGACTCATTACATTCACAAGCGCGGGTTCGCACGTTGGGCGGTTTAAGAAATTTTAAAAGTCATGGAAGTGCGTTCGTAAGTCGGGACGCTCGTAAGTTTAGACGTTCGTAAGTCGGGACGCTCGTAAGCCGGGTGTTCGCAAGTCGGGTACTCCCCGTGCTGTACATTATTTAAATATGCAGTGCTCCTTTGTTCAGGATGTAAATTGCACGTTCGATCTTCGGATGCGTGGGCAGTTACGCACAAACGTAGAGTGTGCCAACCACCTTCACCGCTGCCTTGTGCATACCGTGTCAAGCCATACGGTGTACCCCGTATTCTTGTACAGGAGAATTTGAGTAGTTAGGTCCATACGGCGTATGGCTGTTTCAATACCGGTTAAAAAAATGCGCCTGTTTGTGTTTCTCTCCTTGCGATGGGACTTTGTAGGATGAACGTTGAGTTTTATAAGGGGCACGGGGTGACCAATAAATTGGTCTGCAATAAGGTAGGGCACTGATAAGGGGGTTGACAGGTGTGGTGGTGAGTGTAGTGGTGAGTGTAGTGTTGATTGTCTATTCGTCTGTGTTTCTTCCTTGTGATGGGACTTTATAGGATAAATGTTGAGATTTATAATGGCACCGGGTTGACCAATAAGGTCTGGATTGGTCTGCAATAAGGTAGGGCACTGATAAGGGGTTGACAGGTGTGGTGGTGAGTGTAGTGGTGAGTGTAGTGGTGAGGGTACCAGTGGTGAGTGTAGTGGTGAGTGTAGTTATGGTGATTGTCTATTTGTTCGTATTGCTCGCCTTGTGATGGTACTTTGTAGGATGAACGTTGAGATTTATAACACTGTGAAACAAATTTGTATTTATTTTTTGTCCCTGGGTAGTAAGTGGTATTTCCTAATTGCTTATGCTTCAACAGTACAGAAAGTGGCTATTGTTATTCCTCACAAACTTTGCTTTTGTGACCAGGACAGTGATATTTAGAAATTGACCTATTTGCCAGAACAGTCCAGATAGATTCAGTGCTGAGTAAACTTGGAGTAACTTCTAACACTTTCCAGTAACATAAATAGTAGTATAAATACAGGGGCCTTAAGCCTACCAGTTGAGTTTAGTTCCAGCTGCCTAAGTGGATACATATCTGCATTTTTCTGAGGTGGCATCAAGAGGCTGCAAGCGTTCCGGCAGACGCATTTTGCTCTGTCTGCGGCCAATTTATCAAGACACGAGCGACAAAGTACTCTGCGGAAGCATCTTGCTAAGATGTGTGAGCCCTCCAAAGGCATATGTTGGCATGCCTGCCGGGGATCAAGACAAACCCTGGGCACCTCATTTCACCTGCGAGCAATGCAAAAAAACACCCTGGAAGGTAAGATGGACAATTGTTGCTCGGACTTTTATGTTATAAAATTTGTTAAATTGAAAACATTGTAGAAGTTTTTAATTTTCGATGTTATTGAAAAAATATGTCATATGTGAAAACTGTTTGCGAGAACCTCTTACACATTAGTCATGGGTGAAGTAAATGTGTTTTTGTAGGATGGTACAGAGGGGAAAAGAGAGCCATGAAGCCCGCTACCCCTAGAATTTGGCGGGAACCCACTGACCATTCAAGCAACTGCTACTTCTGCATGGTGGACCCTTTGACCGTTGGCAGTTGGTCGTTGGCAGTTGGTCGTTGGCCGTTGGCCCTTCGTTCACTGTTCGCCGTTGGCCGTTGGTTCGCCGTTGGCCGCTGGTCGTTGGCCGTTCGCCGACACTCTGACTCCACCCGAGCGCGGCGAACGAGGAATCGCCGCGCGTTTATTCGCATGCCGGGCCAGAGCAGTGCCGGATGAAGCTCGTGCGGGGGTGGCCTGTCGCATGTGTTGTTACAAAGGGGGCCCTAAATGAACAAATAACATGAATATTGAAACAAAACAAAAAAAATGCACTTGCACAGGAAAGTGATTGTATTTTTTAATTTGCTGCACGGCCGGATAATGCGACAGATCGCTAACCTTAAACACCCAGTCGTTCATAAACGTTGAAGGCGGTATAGTACTACAGTAATAGAGCAAGTGCCGGATTAAGCTAGTGCAGGGCCCATAGAACATGCTGTTATAAAGGGGCCCTAAAATACAATTTTAAAAAACACGTAAATATTAAAACACACACATTTTTAACTTGCATAGTAAAGTAATTGTATTTTTTCATTAGCTATACAGCCCAGATAATATGACAAATCGCTAACCTTAAACACCCAGTCGTTCATAAAAGTTGAAGGCAGTATAGTACTATAGTAATGGAGCAAGTGCCGGATGAAGCTAGTGCGGGGCCTGGAGCATATGTCGATGGTGAGTGTGAAGGTGCCTGAAGGTGAGTGTGAAGGTGAGTGTGAAGGTGAGTGTGAGGGTGAGTGAGAGAGTGTGAGCGTGAGTGAAGGTGAGTGTGAAGGTGAGTGTGAGAGGGTGAGAGGGTGAGTGAAGGTGCCTCAAGGTGAGTGTGAAGGTGAGTGAGAGAGTGTGAGCGTGAGTGAAGGTGAGTGTGAAGGTGAGTGAGAGAGTGTGAGCGTGAGTGAAGGTGAGTGTGAAGGTGAGTGAGAGAGGGTGAGCGTGAGTGAAGGTGCCTCAAGGTGAGTGTGAAGGTGAGGGTGAGTGTGTGAGAGGGTGAGTGAAGGTGCCTGAAGGTGAGTGTGTAGGTGAGGGTGAGTGTGTGAGAGGGTGAGTGAAGGTGCCTGAAGGTGAGTGTGTAGGTGAGGGTGAGTGTGTGAGAGGGTGAGTGTGAGAGTGTGAGCGTGAGTGAAGGTGCCTCAAGGTGAGTGTGAGGGTGAGTGCTACTACTCTCCAACAGATACTTGCCCCCCAACAGTCTTATCACAGGCGAGCACGGGGGGGGGGGGGGGGAGGGAACCACGTGGAAGAGACACACACACAGCAAGAGAGAGATCACGCAGACTCCTTAACGTACGACAGCAGGCGTCGCCAGCCAGGGCCCCCCGTTCGTTCGATAATCATCGATACGGGGGGACCCCCAAAGCGTGGGGCCCGGGGCAGTCGCCTCAAGGGGTGCCCGGGGGGGTGTGGGTGGTGACGGTGGATTGGGATCGAGGGCTAAAGGGAGGTGAGAACGACGACCGTGCTACTTAAGATTTGTTTAATTTTAATTGTTATTTTATATATATACGTATATTGTCTGAATCGATAACGTGCACGTGAAGGTAACGATAAAGGGGAGGATGCGGCGTTACCCCGCTTGCACAGGAATGGTGTCGGTGGGGAGGCGGTGGGGGATGGCGACTGGCACCGTAAGGGGAGTTCCCACGGCTACCCGCCTCCCCCGGCAGTGCCGACAGTGGTGGTGGTGGTGGCGGCGGCGGTGACGACGGTGGTGACGGTGGTGGTGGTGCTGGCGGTCATGGTGGCGGTGGTTCGCGGTAGTGCCGGTGGCGGCGCTGGCGGTGGTGGCGTTGATGGAGGCGGTGGCGGTGCCGGTGGCGGCGGTGGTGGCGGTGGCGTTGATGGTGGTCGTGGCGGTGGCGGTGGCGATGATGGAGGCGGTGGCGGCGGTGGTGGCGTTGATGGTGGCGGTGGCGGCGATGATGGCGGTGGTGGCGGTGGCGATGATGGAGGCTGCGTTGGTGGCGTTGATGGCGGCGGCGGTGGTGCTGATAGCGGCGGCGGCGTCGCCGCTATTTCTCCAAGCCCGCCAGGAGGTCGAGGTCGGAGAAGCCGCCTCCGTCGCCGTCGCCCCCCGACTCTTTCGGCGCGGGCGGCTTCTCACCGGGGCCCACGTGGGGCTTCACGGGGGGCTTCACGGGGGGCTTCACGGGGGGGGGGGGAGGCTTCACCGGTGCAACCCCCGCCCCAAGGAGGCCCTCTCCGTCGTGCAAACGCGGCTTCTTGCCGTGGCCGCCGGGCGCGACGGGCTTGCCGTCCCACTCGCCGTGGCCGACGTGGTGGTGGTGGTGGTGGTGGTGGCGGCTGTGGTGAGGTTGTTTGCCGGCATGCGGTTGGTGGTGGTGGTGGGGGTGGTGGTGGTGGTGGTGGTGGTGGTTGTGAGAGGGCTCGTGCGAAGGCTTGCCGGCAGGCCGGTCCTCCGCCGGGCCGTCCACGTTCACGGGCCACGGGCCCACCAGGGACGCCGGCCGCAGGCACGGGGGGCGGGCGGTGGCCGTGGGCACCGCGGGGGGGTCACTGGGGACGTCACCCGGGACGCCCGTGGGGTCGGCTGGGCCCTATGCACACATAACGCACGGAGACAAAGGTCCCCCGTGTAGCCTCTAACAGACTGTAGGGGCAAGTGCTGTGAGTAGCAGCAGCACCTGTGAAGGTAGACACAGACAAAGGTCCCCCGTGTAGCCTCGAACAGACTGTAGGGGCAAGTGCTGTGAGTAGCAGCAGCACCTGTGAAGGTAGACACAGACAAAGGTCCCCCGTGTAGCCTGTAACATGCTGTAGGGGCAAGTGCTGCTAGTAGCAGCAGCACCTGTCAAGGTAGACACAGACAAAGGTCCCCCGTGTAGCCTGTAACAGACTGTTGGGGCAAGTGCTGTTAGCGAGCAGCACCTGTGAAGATAGACACAGACAAAGGTCCCCCGTGTAGCCTCTAACAGGCTGTAGGGGCAAGTGCTGTTAATAGCGAGTAGCAGCAGCACCTGTGAAGGTAGACACAGACAAAGATCCCCCGTGTAGCCTCTAACAGGCTGTAGGGGCAAGTGCTGTGAGTAGCGAGTAGCAGCAGCACCTGTGAAGGTAGACACAGACAAAGATCCCCCGTGTAGCCCCTAACAGACTGTAGGGGCAAGTGCTGTGAGTAGCGAGTAGCAGCAGCACCTGTGAAGGTAGACACAGACAAAGGTCCCCCGTGTAGCCTCTAACATGCTGTAGGGGCAAGTGCTGCTAGTAGCAGCAGCACCTGTCAAGGTAGACACAGACAAAGGTCCCCCGTGTAGCCTGTAACAGACTGTTGGGGCAAGTGCTGTTAGCGAGCAGCACCTGTGAAGATAGACACAGACAAAGGTCCCCCGTGTAGCCTGTAACAGGCTGTAGGGGCAAGTGCTGTGAGTAGCAAGTAGCAGCAGCACCTGTGAAGGTAGACACAGACAAAGGTCCCCCGTGTAGCCTGTAACAGACTGTTGGGGCAAGTGCTGTTAGCGAACAGCACCTGTGAAGGTAGACACAGACAAAGGTCCCCCGTGTAGCCTGTAACAGGCTGTTGGGGCAAGTGCTGTTAGCGAACAGCAACTGTGAAGGTAGACACAGACAAAGGTCCCCCGTGTAGCCTGTAACAGGCTGTTGGGGCAAGTGCTGTTAGCGAGCAGCAACTGTGAAGGCGGATCACGGCACGTGAAGGGGTGTGGTTGGACAGCACGATGCACACGCACCACACCACAAGCATCGACAACGATCCCTCCCTCCACGTGGTCTTTGTGTGGATGTGTGTACGTCAAACTTCTTTCGCACCGTATGTCGCCAAAGGTGCTAATCGGAGGTGCGGAGTGTTGAGTCTATGGTGCAGTGTTGAGTCTATGGTGCAGTGTTGAGTCTATGGTGCAGTGTTGAGTCTATGGTGCAGTGTTGAGTCTATGGTGCAGTGTTGAGTCTATGGTGCAGTGTTGAGTCTCTGGGTAGTGTTGAGTATCTGGGTAGTGTTGAGTCATTGGACAGTGTTGAGTCTATGGGCAGTGTTGAGTCAACAGGCAGTGTTGAGTCTATGGGCAGTGTTGAGTCTCTGGGTAGTGTTGAGTATCTGGGTAGTGTTGAGTCATTTGACAGTGTTGAGTCTATGGGCAGTGTTGAGTCAACAGGCAGTGTTGCGTCTATGGGCAGTGTTGAGTCTCTGGGTAGTGTTGAGTCATTGGGCAGTGTTGAGTCTATGGTGCAGTGTTGAGTCTCTGGGTAGTGTTGAGTCTATGGGCAGTGTTGAGTCTCTGGGTAGTGTTGAGTCTATGGGGCAGTGTTGAGGTATGGGGCAGTGTTGAGTCTATGGTGCAGTGTTGAGTCTATGGTGCAGTGTTGAGTCTATGGGGCAGTGTTGAGTCTATGGTGCAGTGTTGAGTCGAAGTGCAGTGTTGAGGTATGGGGCAGTGTTGAGTCTATGGTGCAGTGTTGAGTCTATGGTGCAGTGTTGAGTCGATGGTGCAGTGTTGAGTCTATGGTCCAGTGTTGAGTCGATGGTGCATTGTTGAGTCTATGGTGCAGTGTTGAGTCTATGGGTAGTTTTGAGTCTATGGGCAGTGTTGAGTCTCTGGGTAGTGTTGAGTATCTGGGTAGTGTTGAGTCATTGGACAGTGTTGAGTCTATGGGCAGTGTTGAGTCAACAGGCAGTGTTGAGTCTATGGGCAGTGTTGAGTCTCTGGGTAGTGTTGAGTCATTGGGCAGTGTTGAGTCTATGGTGCAGTGTTGAGTCTCTGGGTAGTGTTGAGTCTATGGGCAGTGTTGAGTCTCTGGGTAGTGTTGAGTCTATGGGGCAGTGTTGAGGTATGGGGCAGTGTTGAGTCTATGGTGCAGTGTTGAGTCTATGGTGCAGTGTTGAGTCTATGGGGCAGTGTTGAGTCTATGGTGCAGTGTTGAGTCTATGGTGCAGTGTTGAGGTATGGTGCAGTGTTGAGTCTATGGTGCAGTGTTGAGTCTATGGTGCAGTGTTGAGTCGATGGTGCAGTGTTGAGTCTATGGTCCAGTGTTGAGTCGATGGTGCAGTGTTGAGTCTATGGTGCAGTGTTGAGTCTATGGGTAGTTTTGAGTCTATGGGCAGTGTTGAGTCTCTGGGTAGTGTTGAGTATCTGGGTAGTGTTGAGTCATTGGACAGTGTTGAGTCTATGGGCAGTGTTGAGTCAACAGGCAGTGTTGAGTCTATGGGCAGTGTTGAGTCTCTGGGTAGTGTTGAGTCATTGGGCAGTGTTGAGTCTATGGGCAGTGTTGAGTCAACAGGCAGTGTTGAGTCTATGGGCAGTGTTGAGTCTCTGGGTAGTGTTGAGTCTATGGGGCCGTGTTGAGTCTATGGTGCAGTGTTGAGTCTATGGTGCAGTGTTGAGTCTCTGGGTAGTGTTGAGTCTATGGGGCAGTGTTGAGTCTATGGTGCAGTGTTGAGTCGATGGTGCAGTGTTGAGTCTATGGTCCAGTGTTGAGTCGATGGTGCAGTGTTGAGTCTATGGTGCAGTGTTGAGTCTATGGGTAGTTTTGAGTCTATGGGCAGTGTTGAGTCTCTGGGTAGTGTTGAGTATCTGGGTAGTGTTGAGTCATTGGATAGTGTTGAGTCTATGGGCAGTGTTGAGTCAACAGGCAGTGTTGAGTCTATGGGCAGTGTTGAGTCTCTGGGTAGTGTTGAGTATCTGGGTAGTGTTGAGTCATTGGACAGTGTTGAGTCTATGGGCAGTGTTGAGTCAACAGGCAGTGTTGAGTCTATGGGCAGTGTTGAGTCTCTGGGTAGTGTTGCGTATCTGGGTAGTGTTGAGTCATTGGACAGTGTTGAGTCTATGGGCAGTGTTGAGTCAACAGGCAGTGTTGAGTCTATGGGCAGTGTTGAGTCTCTGGGTAGTGTTGAGTCATTGGGCAGTGTTGAGTCTATGGTGCAGTGTTGAGTCTATGGGTAGTGTTGAGTCTATGGGCAGTGTTGAGTCTCTGGGTAGTGTTGAGTCTATGGAGCAGTGTTGAGGTATGGGGCAGTGTTGAGTCTATGGTGCAGTGTTGAGTCTATGGTGCAGTGATGAGTCTATGGGGCAGTGTTGAGTCTATGGTGCAGTGTTGAGTCTATGGTGCAGTGTTGAGGTATGGGGCAGTGTTGAGTCTATGGTGCAGTGTTGAGTCTATGGTGCAGTGTTGAGTCGATGGTGCAGTGTTGAGTCTATGGTCCAGTGTTGAGTCGATGGTGCAGTGTTGAGTCTATGGTGCAGTGTTGAGTCTCTGGGTAGTGTTGAGTCATTGGGCAGTGTTGAGTCTATGGTGCAGTGTTGAGTCTCTGGGTAGTGTTGAGTCTATGGGCAGTGTTGAGTCTCTGGGTAGTGTTGAGTCTATGGGGCAGTGTTGAGGTATGGGGCAGTGTTGAGTCTATGGTGCAGTGTTGAGTCTATGGTGCAGTGTTGAGTCTATGGGGCAGTGTTGAGTCTATGGTGCAGTGTTGAGTCTATGGTGCAGTGTTGAGGTATGGGGCAGTGTTGAGTCTATGGTGCAGTGTTGAGTCTATGGTGCAGTGTTGAGTCGATGGTGCAGTGTTGAGTCTATGGTCCAGTGTTGAGTCGATGGTGCAGTGTTGAGTCTATGGTGCAGTGTTGAGTCTATGGGTAGTTTTGAGTCTATGGGCAGTGTTGAGTCTCTGGGTAGTGTTGAGTATCTGGGTAGTGTTGAGTCATTGGACAGTGTTGAGTCTATGGGCAGTGTTGAGTCAACAGGCAGTGTTGAGTCTATGGGCAGTGTTGAGTCTCTGGGTAGTGTTGAGTCATTGGGCAGTGTTGAGTCTATGGGCAGTGTTGAGTCAACAGGCAGTGTTGAGTCTATGGGCAGTGTTGAGTCTCTGGGTAGTGTTGAGTCTATGGGGCAGTGTTGAGTCTATGGTGCAGTGTTGAGTCTATGGTGCAGTGTTGAGTCTCTGGGTAGTGTTGAGTCTATGGGGCAGTGTTGAGTCTATGGTGCAGTGTTGAGTCGATGGTGCAGTGTTGAGTCTATGGTCCAGTGTTGAGTCGATGGTGCAGTGTTGAGTCTATGGTGCAGTATTGAGTCTATGGGTAGTTTTGAGTCTATGGGCAGTGTTGAGTCTCTGGGTAGTGTTGAGTATCTGGGTAGTGTTGAGTCATTGGATAGTGTTGAGTCTATGGGCAGTGTTGAGTCAACAGGCAGTGTTGAGTCTATGGGCAGTGTTGAGTCTCTGGGTAGTGTTGAGTATCTGGGTAGTGTTGAGTCATTGGACAGTGTTGAGTCTATGGGCAGTGTTGAGTCAACAGGCAGTGTTGAGTCTATGGGCAGTGTTGAGTCTCTGGGTAGTGTTGCGTATCTGGGTAGTGTTGAGTCATTGGACAGTGTTGAGTCTATGGGCAGTGTTGAGTCAACAGGCAGTGTTGAGTCTATGGGCAGTGTTGAGTCTCTGGGTAGTGTTGAGTCATTGGGCAGTGTTGAGTCTATGGTGCAGTGTTGAGTCTCTGGGTAGTGTTGAGTCTATGGGCAGTGTTGAGTCTCTGGGTAGTGTTGAGTCTATGGAGCAGTGTTGAGGTATGGGGCAGTGTTGAGTCTATGGTGCAGTGTT